GGGGCTCGCCAACCTTTTGGAAGGCCCGATACACGCTGCGGAAATTGGAAAGTCGGAAGACTCGAGTCTCCGGCTCCCCGGCCGGCAGTTCTTGGCTTTGTTCACCAAATTCCTCCAAAGTGGCAATGCCCCGTCACTGGCCGGCGATTGGCGTCACACCTGACGCACACCGGAAACCACGCGCGGGCGCTCAGGCGTTCCCCCCCCACTCCCCCTTTGGTGCGGACAGGGTGTCGGCCGTTCCCGTGGCCCTGGGCCCGGGTCGCCTGGACATCCTGGTGACGGACGCCGTCCCGGCCCTCCCCGCCGGCGCCTCGGCCGTCTACACCGTCCACCTGCAGCGAGAGGCCCCGCCCAGCCTCCCCGTCTTTGGAGATCACATGACCTGCGCTTTCCTGCAAGTGAGTCAAATGCGGTTTGATGGATGGATTGATTTGATTGATGTTTTTGCTCGTCGCGTTCAGACGGACGGGGGCGCCAGAGGGAGCCGGTTTGAAATCGCGGCGTGCGCGTCCGCAAGAGAGAGCGAGCGGGTGCGCGTGTCGACTCAGCTGAGGCGCTTCCAAGAAAATGCGCGTTTGAAGGCCTGGGCCGAGCCGGGGTACGAACAAGAAAATCCCTGTTAAGTTTTCTTGTGTCACTTTGTCGCGATGTGCGGCGCCGACGCGCGGAATGTGTCGCCGCCGTGTTAGAGGCCGACAAGAAAGAAGAAGAGCGGGCCGCCGCCTCGGCCTCAACGCGGCGCGCGAGGCCAAGGCCGCCTCTCAAGTCCATCCAGACGCGGCGGCGGCGGCTCCCAGGCCCGCGGCCGGCCGTTTATTTGACCTTTGTCCCGCCCCCACGACCCCCCGCGCGCCACCCGCACTCGATCCACAACGAGCGATGAAGACTGCGGCAGCGACGCGGCTTTCCCCCTTCCTTCCTTTCATCCTGTGACAGCAAGCTGTGAGAAACGAGCAGGAAGCGTCTTGAGTTGGCTGTCAAGACTGCGACGTGTTGGCAATTGGCCAGACGGCTGCGCGATTGCGCTGCAGCGGTCATCTTGTCTTAATTTCCAAAAAAAAAAAAGGAAGCACGTCATAGACTGCCGCAAAGTTTCTTTTCTTGTGGTCAGACGCCTGCTCGTTGTGTTGCAGGACTGCGCGCTGGTGGTGGACCCGGGTCTGCCTTGCGGCCTGGAACCCTGGCCCAGGTCGGCGGACGGGCTCCCGGCCTGCCCGTCGGGACACGCCCCAGGTGCCGCCCGCCGTCCGCCGCGCCGTTTGCGCCGTTTGCGTTTGGCGCTGACGTGGCTTTGTGCGCGAGGTTGAAGGTCGCTGGCTGGTGCCGTGCCTCAGCTGCTCCGACAACAGGACTTGCGATTGGCGGGAGGCGGCCTGGCAACCGGACGGCTGCCGTCACCCGTCGGTGGACGCCGGCCGGCTGCGGGAATGCATGGCGGGCAGCAAGGTGACCGGGCGCGCCGCCGCGCCGCGCCGCTCCTTGGTTTTCCTCCGAGACCTTCCTCGCTTTTGGCTTTCCCCTCCTTTGACGGCGGCGTCCTCAGGTGTTGTTCCTGGGGGACTCGACCAATCGCGGCATGATGTACTTTTTGACGGAGCGCCTCAACCGCAGCCTGGCGGCGTGGGAGCGCTCGCACGGCACGCTGCTCTACCGCGACGTGAACGGGGGCCGCACGCCGGTGGCCTACTCGTATTACCCGCGCTTCTGGCTGGAGCGGGGGCGCAGGCCCACCTTCGGGCAGGCGCTGACGGGCCTGCTGCGCAGGTAGCCGCCGCATCGATTGATTGCGTTTCCTTTTGTTTTGCGGTGCCAGCGACCGGCCGTCGGGACTTGCCGATTGTCGCTTTTTCGACTCTTCAAAGATTTGGGGGGGCGGGGGGGCTTCCCAGGCATAAAAGCAATCTTCTAAGATTTGAAAAAGATTTGCGAGCTCATTTTTCAAGGTGGCCCGCTTTGCATTTCCACAGGTCTCGGCCTCTGGTCAACTCCCGGCGGACTGTGCTGGTGGTGGGCGGAGTCCAGTGGCTGACCACCGATCACCTGCGGACGGTGCGAGAGGTTCTGGACAGGTGAGCGAGCACGCGTTGGGGCGCGGCGCGGCGCGTCAACCAACGCCGTCTTGTCGCTGCCGTCCTCAGAGAGTCGCTGGCGGGCGCGCGGGTGGTCATCAAGTCTCTGGGGATGGGTTTCCACCTCCCGGCGGACGGCATCCGAGCTCACGCGCCGGTTCGTACCCGCGCCCGCCCGCCTGGCCCGCGTCCGCGCGCCGACCGCAAGCGCTTGGGTGTGCTTTTTGCGCAGGAGGAGCTCCGCGAGCTTTCCCGGGAGAACCGGCGCGTGGTGGCCGCCGCCGAGCGGCTGGGCTACGAGGCCATCGACACCTTGGCCATCACCATGGGCCGCTACAAGGAGTTCCTGCAGGGGGCGTGCGCGTGCCATTTCCACCAGGTAAAGCCAAAACAACGGCGCACGCGTACGTTTGGGGGTCCTTAGCGCACCCTTCGGCAGCGCCAGTCTTTGGTCGTTGAGCGGGACGACCGGTTGCCGACGTCGCTCGGGTCGCGCCCTTGAAAGGCACCCGCACGACACGCGGCCGTCTCGGCTGATCCCGACCCGGCGGCTCCACGTCGAGGAGCCGCGGACGAACGAAACGGGCGGGATTGGGGCCGGATCAAATTTGGGAAAAGGAGTGGGAGCAAGCCAAGCCGGGAGCCCGTTCGAGTTGCGGCTTCGGAGGGAGGCGGGGGCGCGCTTGAAGATCGGAGCCACCAAGCTTGTTTCTTGACGCCGTCAAGGTGGAGAAGGCGGCGGCCTCGGAGCGGCGGCGGCAGTGCCGGACGGCGCCGCCGTGCTACCACGTGAGAGGACCCGTCAACCAGATCTACTCGGAGATCCTGCTCAGTCGCCTGTGCCC